TATATATATATATATATATTTTTTTTATTCCCTTCAATATTTAAGTCAAGTATTGATGAATACATTTTGATTAGCATTAGTATGCATCAATACTTGCTGACTGTCATATTCAGTATTCATCAATTTTTTATTTACCTCAATTAATACATAATTATAAATGTACATACAGTAATCTCTAATACTTTAGTATTCATCAATATTGACTGTCAATACTCGATATTCATCAATATTTAACTATTATCTCAAATATACATATATAAGTATTGATGTATACTAATCTCTAATAATGATGATTTATTAGAAATCGTTGGTGAAGACAATTACATTATATATTTTTTTGTTCCATTTGTCAATCATTTCCTTAGTAATATTTTTACAGGACGAAAGATCGAGTTTGTTCAATTTAGGACATTTCTCGAAAAGTTGAGAACAAATATCAGGTGTCACAGAATTTACGCATGACAAATTTAGAGATTTTAAGTTTTTGCACAATGTTAGTGTTTCATTATCACGCTTGGTAAGGCTTTTAAAACATTTCAAATTGATTGTTTCCAAATATTGACAGGAAGAAAATAATTTAACGAAGATGCCACCGTTCTTGATCCTACCGATCAACTCGCAAAAAGAAAAATCCACTTCTCTCAGATTCTTACAATCGGCAAGAGCATCAATGCTTTGCGGTGTAAGAGTGCAACATTCTAAATTTAATCTTTCCAAATTTGGACATGAATTCTTTAATTCTGTTGCAATTGCATCTATGTTTAGCCTCGTATGGCTTAAATTTAATTTACGCATATGTCGATTTTTCTGTAGAATTTCACACAAAGTATTAGTTTTTATAGCTTCTACTTTTGAAAGGTATAAACTTTCCAAAAACTGTAAATTCTTGAGATACGAAATATTTTCATTTGTTATGTCATCACAATCATTTAGGTCCAATTCTAAAAAATACATTACATCATATAATAATATAATTTATCTGTAACCATAACGTTCATATACGTACCTTTCAAATTTTTACATATCTCTGAAATATCATGTAGTTTAGAATCAACATCATAGCATTCACTTAATGTTAGATGCGTTAAACGCCTGCAGCAAGTTTTTAAAAATTCTCTAAACTTCGAAGTAGAAAACTTGCAAAGTGACAGATCCA